CGGAACTCGTTGAAAACAGCACAAAGGGGGTTATATTTGTGAGTACCCACAAATGAATATGATTTACCTTTGTGAAGTCGTTGTTCAATGCCCTGTTCCTTGCCTTCATCGGTCATTTAAATTTAGTTTGCTCGTGCAGCAAAGGATGAACATCTGTTGCAGTAGATCATCCGTGCTCATTTCAACTCATTTGCATTTTACTACGAAGCAAGAAAACTTTCCCTTCGTAAAACAGCGTATATACTTTGATCAATCATACGATAAACTGCAGTATGGCGGAATAGCAATTTTAAGCAAATTAACCGGTGTATAATCCCTTTCTGTAACACAGCGGGAGCTATCTGCTTTCGCCAATTTTTTTCCTTGAGTTGTTTTCTTGATGAGGTCACTAATGCTCACGGCATAATTATATTGGTTACCCCCCTTAATTAGCAAGCAAATTTTGACAACAGGTTGTCAAGAGGACATCTGCGCCTAAGGCAATAATAGAACTTTAAGAGACCTTGTTTGCTTTCATTATCGTCCTAATTCGAAAGCTTCCCTTTGAAAGGTCAAACTTTGGAATCTTTTAACAATTTGGGCTCAGAAGTTATTCATGCGCCAGAAAATTACTTCTTTGCAGTTTTCACTGGCAAGGTTTATGCCTAGTTCCAAGACGCCAGTTGTCTCGCACGGTAAATTCCTTTCGGGTCGCGTGGCCCAAATTAAAAAGCGATTCGGAATTTAGATATCAAACGAGATTTGCTTGGTCTCCGTGAAAAAATGTCAAGCTTTGGTCGATCTAAGTGATCGATTAATCTGCGTGCTCAAAATATAGTAGATCAACCTTACACAGGAATAAATTGAAGAACCCCAGTGTAAGCAAATACTCAGTAGCTTTAACCCTTTCACTGCCAAATGTAGCCAAAGGCAAATTTCGACGAGATTTCCAAATGTTATTTTGTAAAATTTTGAAAAACAAACAGCACCATGTGTAAGTACAGGCAGAGAGCTTTCATTTGAATGGTCACATCATAGGGTTTCGTCCACGCACTCAAAAGTTAGAGTCACCTTACAAAACTCCATCAAACACTCTGGCAGTGAAAGGGTTAACCTTGCTTTCAGATACATCTCAAAGGAATCAAAACGAGTGAATGTGCTTCTGGAACCCTTAGCCTGTTCATTTGTTTCAGTCTAGGCACCGGAATGCTTATGCTAAACTAGACCAACTAGGAACAACTCTGCACTTGCTAAATTACCACTGATCACTCCTATAAATGATACCTTACAGACGAATCTTTGTTTACATTTTTTGCCTGATTAAGATATATGCTTATCATTTACTCATCAAGCTATTAAAATACCATATCTGAATATTGTAAGAGCATAGTAATATCAATGATCTGTGAAAATTTAAGCACGATATGCGAAATGGTTTCGGAGAAATACTGCTTTAAAAACTCGTAATTTTACAAAGTAGTGGCTTTTTGACTCTTTTGCAGCCCTTTAAAATTTGATATTTTCTTCGGTATTGCTTGAATTGAGCTGAAAATTGCAAAAATTGCTCAAGTTAACCAGCTCTTTCAATTTTTGAATTTTCGTGTGTACATACGACCACAACTTCTATGGGTTAAGTTGTATGCCAATGAGAAAAGATGTAATTAATGACGTCATCACCCACTGTTAACCAATGAAATCCTTCTGATTTCGATACTTAATCCCAGAAAAAACTCAACTAGAGAAAGCATCAAATCGATAGTGACACTTGATTTTACCTGTTTGCTTTAGGAACTCGAATCTGCTTCCTGTGATAAAAACAAATGACCTGTGGTTATCTTCCACTTGATAAGCTTAGGCATTGTTCAGGAAGTATTAAAACATCGAGAGATGTATACCATCCTAATTAAAAGGATTCCTTTTATTAGTTTATCTTACTTTGCAGCATACCTAATTACCTTGAAAGTGAAGACATCAAAGATCTATAACTGACAGCTGACTGTAAATTATTAAGGATACTTGATTACAAACGACAAACTGGAATATTTAAGCCGCCTATATTTTTCCCGGCGTCGATACAAAAACCATGACGTCTCAAGGTAGCCGGTCTTTTAAAGTTAAATTAATATTTCATGGGGACCTTTACGTTCGTGTTTGCCACCATATAACTGTTAAAAGATGTCAATATATTTTGCTTCCGATTTACGTCAGCTTCACAAGGAAACAAACTCCATCATTTCTATTGAATTTTTAGCACAAGAACATAGACGGTAAAGGCCGTTTTACAGTTCGTTTTGATCTCTGCAATTTTACCTTATCCATCCAGATTCATCTGTTAATAAACTGCTTAACAAGCAGCGATTCTCAAGAACGTAGAGATTGCTACTCTCCCGGTGTGGGAATACCAGTACAACCGGGTCTCCCCCTCCCCCTTACGCCCCTTACGTATCTCTTATCATCACCATGAGAAAACCGGTGTATTTTGAAAGTAGTATCGTGTCTATTGAACATTTCGTGTCATTTTAAGAAGTCGCTTACCAAGAATAAGTTTTTCGAAGTGGAGGCTTTTCAGGCCGTCAGATGAAAGCCATCTTTTTCAATTAAAACACTGTCATTTAGTTTCAATTAAGTACACGATGCCATCTGTTTGAATAATATACGATTCTGATTCATTACCTGTGACGAGGCAATGCACTTTTCACGCTTTTGTTATCTCAAACAAGAATCAGAAAATTTTTTGTGGCAGTACATTCCAAAATCATATTCTGCAACAGAATCAAAGGATTCATGCATCCGGCTAAGAGAAACATTGTCAGTATTTCTCCATGTTTTGTTTTTGTTGTCGGTTTGTAAACAGTTACGCATCGGTGAAAATCACCCTTTTTAAGCGTCTAGAATCGAGAACTACATTCTGCCTTACCTCATAAATGTGTTTTCTCTTTGGATAAGATTTTTCAGAATTATGTGAGCAGCTGAAAATCATTCAGTTTCATGACCAAGTGAACATGACAGTCCGACTGCACCTCCTATGTGCAATTACGTGCACTCCGCCTGGAGTGATATCTCACAGTGTAATTACATATTTTCCTGGGGTCTTGTCTTATATCAATAATTCTAACGTTTCGTTCACTTATTCCTGTCAAACTGCGGTTATTAGAGAAGCGTAACCATGTATTTAGTTTGGGGCTTGATTTACATGAATATTTAGCGATGACATCCTCGGGGCGATTAATAATGAAATAGGGCTTTCATTTAAGGCGCATAGAAAAGGTGCTTAGCTTATGCAACTTTAAGTACCAGATTAAATGGCCTTTTCTTATGTATTATGGCTTTTTGTTGGAATTAGTCGTTGCCTACTTTTTAAATGTTATGTAAGTTAGAATATTTAGAAATACAGCAATGAAACAAACTAAATATTTCAGTGGTCGACACTAAAAATGTTGCAGTGAAAATTTAATACCTGCTTATATGGGTCGTCGTCGATGTATAAGATTATTTTCATTCAAATTAAAATCTGTATTCAATTGGTTCACATCTCTCTCTCTTTTTTTTTTTCCTATTTGATATTCTAAAATATTATTTTCAAGATCAAATGATAAAACAAAATTCACGTCAAACACTTAAATACAACGTGAGGCACCAGACAGCTGCACTCGTTTTTCTCGTTAAATGGGTTTAAACTTTAATACCCTTTATATCCTTTTAACGATAGAAATAAAATATTTTGTGACCCAATGTAATGCTAAAACGTCCTTTAAATCCTTTTGAAAACCCATAGGCATATTATCCAATTGGATGCAGGAATTTGATCACGTGCGCCCAAGGGCCTTTATATCTGGCAAATTCATCTAATTGCCTGAGTGTCAGGCCGAATAATTCGAATTACGACTTTTAGAGGGAAAGTGGCGCTGAATGATTTTAACAACAGACTGTGGACATTTTATATTAAAGAAATTATTGAGTATTGTATAAAGAGATCACTCTGACTAGTTAACCATTAATTGAAAAGTAAAATCTATAAAACCCATCGCAGGATGTTCAGCGTTAAAGAGATAATAACAAAAATAGAATCGAGGTCATACACAATATTTCAAAATTAATGACCTCTCCATTAGGTCTCTCTAGTCTATCCATACTTCTTTTATTGCAACTTAGTTTGGGCCTCTACGTACAGAACTAACCTTATTCGTCTTGAGATTTTACAGAAACGAATGATCAGAACTATAGCTAAAACTCCTTTCGATGTACGTACTGATCCAATCTTTCCAAATCTTGGTATCTTAAAATTTCATGATATATACTTAATACAACTAGGCTTATTCATGTACTCCTATCAAAATCATACTCTACCTTAAATTTTAGCGTACAAAGTCAAATTCATTCGTATATAACACAAGAAACTCTTGCAAATTGCGTCTGCCTTACTTAATTACAGTATAATCTGCCTTGTAAATGTTTCGCGACGAAACTGGGAAGTGATAAATGGTGTTAATTTGGGAAAAATTTTCATGTGCGCGAACTGAACATGACTGTCCCACCGCTCCCTCGTTCCTGTTGTTCTAATCACCCCAAGTCCCTTGGTCCATTGGGATATCAGTAGCATCAAAAGAGAATAATGGGGTAGAGAGGTACCCCCCCCCCCCCCCCCCCGCCCCCCCCACCGCGCAGAGGTCATACCGACAAGAAATTACATGTTCATCATTTACTTCAATCAAATGTACTTCTTTAGGGGAAGTGTAAAAGGGGTTTATTTGTGGAAAATTTTTCGTTGTGCGAAATGGAAATTTCGTTCCCCCCCCCCCCCCCTTTCCTTTTTTTTTATCCCCCCCAAGCCCTCGGGTCCCTTGGGGATCCAGCGCCACCAAAAAGAAAAAAGGGGGGGGGGGGGTACCCCCCCCCCCCCCACCCCGAAATTCCCATGGGGTATAGGAATTTCAGCAAAGATATTATTTTTAAACCAATTAAACGCTTGAAATTGATCTCAGGTTGGAGAGGTCCGCAAACTTTTTTTCAGTGTTGTCAAGAGAGAATAAGGGGATTTTATGCTCCTTTAGTGTGTCACCATGACAATGTTTTGCATTGTTTGCTTTTGAGCAGTCCCGCGTAGTTGTTTGATGACAAACAATCGATTAAACTGTGCGGACGTCCCAGGAATTAGACTTTCGATTAATTACAACCTCTAAAAATAACTTTACTGAAATTCACATATCCCGGCCGACGCCCTATGATTCCCTCTATCTCGTTATTGTCTGTTGGTAGCTTTTGATGAATAGTGATCGTTTGTCGCATGAATTTCATTTTGACGCTTCTTTTCTTCTAAGCAGAAGTTAAAGTTTATGTATCTCTAGGTCTTTCAGTTCTCTCCGCTTTCTTTCTCATCTGCTTGATCTTCGCTTGCAAATCGTCTACATTATAAACACTGAGCATTTGCTTTTTGAAAATGTCTTTTTCCTGGATAATTGGAATTGGAAGTGCAACAAGGATTACTCCCGCTACACAGCAAGCAGCTCCAACCACCTGGCCTAGAAGGGTAGAAGGAACCATGTCGCCATACCTGGAAAATATACCAAGAGAATGATGGAAAATATTAAGCGCAGTAATGAGTGAGCGAGAGATTTAATTCGTCAGCAAGTCACAAGCGTTCGACATAGAATTAATCTTGTGTTTCTGACAGGATTTGAACCTCCCAGACACCACGTGGGCTGATCCACCAAGCTATGGAGACTCTTACATAGGCCCGCCACTACAAGACTGCAGTGGGAAAAAACAGGAAGCGAGTTTGTCTTGGTAGCAATATATATATGACACGTGTTCTGCTGGGATCAGCAATATCGATAGCGTACTGTATGGTGATGAACACAGAAAAATTTAACGACCATCGTTTACCATGATTAAACGAGACGCGCAAGTTGTTCTACCGAAATTTTCCAAGATTCCCTTGTCGACTTTGCGGGTTTACACAAATGCGCTCGCATAAATAGTAAAAAGGGAGGAGGGGAAAGTCGTTGCTACCCCTTTGTCTCTCTACAATTTCTCTCCGGGTAATCTCCCTAGCGCAATCCTTTTGCCTCTATCAGTGTGGTAACATTGTGAAACCCGAGGGATCTTACAACTTTACAAATGGCCGGGTGCAGGATCGGAGCCTATCTCGCCGGGGGAGATAAGCTTGCTTGAAAATACCTGAGCAGAAAACAAAGTAATAAACTCACTCACCCAAGTGTAATCATTGTCACAATTGTATACCACATGCTGTCAGGGATACTAGTGAACTTTCCATCCACTGCTTTACGTTCAATAAAGTACATCATGCTTGAAAATACAACAACTGCTATAATCAATACAAACATTAGCGACATGAGATCCGTCACGCAGCTAACCATAGCGGCACCAAATCTTTGAAGGCGTTTGGAATGTCTTGTAAGCTTGAAAACTCTAAAAATTCTCAATACTCGAAGAACTACGAAAGCCTCTAAGTTCGACCCCACCACTGACTGTAGTAGTATTGTCAAATAGAAAGGTAAAATCGATAAAAGATCGATAATATTCATTGGATTTTTAACGAAGCTAGTAAGGCTTGGACAGACTATGAGTCTGAGAGAGAACTCCACTGAGAATACACATACGCAAATGACGTCTAAAAGATCTAGAATTCTTACTCTTTCCTTGCAAAGCTTTTCTTCGCTTTCACAGGGAACTGTTTCGTAGACGGTAGTAAAAATGCTGAGGAGTATAAAAAGCCCTACAATGTATATGATCACCATGCCAACGAACGCCTTTAAACCGGATTGTGCTTCACCCTCCAATAGCACCCACATCCAGTTACGCGCTCGAGATAGACGACTTTGATTTACGGGCTTCTCAACTGTACTCTTTAAGTCCGAAGCAGAACTTTTGCTTCCTTCGTGATTCTCTTGATCGTGTTCGTCATCAAAGCAACACTCGTGAATTTCCTGTGGAGTGATTCCATAAAACTGTAGCTCTTCTTCGAAAGAAGCATTGCAGTCTTCGAACGAACGATGCAGCTTCCCACAGCGATAATAATTCAAGATATAACGAAACAAATGTGGATCGCGGTCTATAAAATACTCCTTTTTATCCTTGTCATAAAAGCGCGCTACTAGTTCCTCCGAACCCAGAAGCGTCTCAGGAAAACGCTTAAGCGTGTTCCTCCACGTGACAAATCGACGGCCTCCGACGTTAAAGATGACCTTGGCGTCTGGGCGCCGTCGTTTTAGTCCTTGTAAACACGCATATCCCGAAGACTGGCGACGAGGTAACGTTGAGGAACGCCGCTCCCTTTTGTACGGTGACTTTGCTGGTATAGAGCCTAGGTTGCTTATCATTCTGTAGTTGTAGAGTCTGGGTGACTATCTAAGACGTAGTTGCTGCCCTGATTGAAAAGATAAGGGTAACATAAGCAGGAAAAAAGGATCATGAGGAAACTTTTTTTTTTTTTAGGCAAGTGCAAGCCGATGTCAATTCGTTTTTCATACCCCCCCCCCAGCCGCTACCTCCACATTATGCTTTATACTTAACAGTGATATACATGTAAAATACAGAGAGGATTCTAAGTCAGTCCAAACATCAATATGTTAACCTGGCACACATCTATGAAGTCAGAGCTGGAATAATTTCATTGACTACGCACAGGGCACACAAACTCTTGTCGAAATGACTCATTGCCTTTTTCTGCAAAATCCATAGTGCTTGAAGGATTAAATCTAACCTACAATTTCAGTGAATTAATAATGAATGAATGCAATTTAAATGTGAATTATCAGCGTGGTTCCTCTCAAGTTGCACGTTACGACATTGTAAATACCTCTAGAAGCGAATTTTAAAAGTCAGTTATAATGAAGTAACCTTAATTAAGGAAGCATTGTGGCAAAGCCAGTATTGAATTTATACGCATTGCCTTGAGGGCCGCCATTTTTTCGCTACAAAAGCAGTCATTTTGTAAACACGATTGGTTATAATAGTTTCTTTAAAAGGATAAGCTTCAATGCATACGAATAAAATATACCGTTAAGTGAGTGGGAAGGATGTAGTTTACAGCTTCAATTAGGGATTATTCACTGAATGAGTTCTCATTAAGCCAGGTTGACTTACCATTAAACTAGTGGTGTTCGATCCTCGGCGTAGTCACATTCAAAGCACAATTCTTGGACGGCTCAACTGCAGCATTAAGAGAATAAAATCCCATTTTAATTTCGAGCTAAAAACATGAATTGTGCCCGTCAGGTTTCAATAAAACGACGAGTGCGATCTTTTCCGGTCAAGGCTTTTTATCCTGCATGTTACACTCTACAACGCGGCATAAATACGGTAACAAACGCCGCTCAATAACTCAAATAAAACATCATAACAAATGCTCAAGTGTTCGGCCTCCTTTTAAAAGATATCCTGTTGTCTTCTAACAATGCAGAAATAATCAAATGCAACCCTAATGGTTTCTTTCGTTGTTTGTCACCTAGGTTGTTTCGACAAGATATTGATCATAACACACGACGATGCTGATTAAAATGCGCTATTAAAATACAATTTCAAGCGATCGCAGGTAGAGTTGAAACAATATCGTTCTCCTAATCATATACTCAACTGAAATATCCCTCTTGATGTTAAATATGACAATGAGGAAAAAGGTGTTAGTTTAAATGTCAGTTGCTAAGTTCGAAAACGTTAGGTGGCCGCATCAAAACAGGTTTTCCCATTGGCCCGTCTGTGAATACAGCAATGAATTTTTAATAATGTTTTTGCTAATGTTTTACAGTACCTATTCACCGAACGAGACACAGGTTGAATTAGTTGAAGCACTTGTTTTCCTGCATAAATACTGAACATGTTGAATTATTCTGACATTCTTATTACGATACATGAATACAGCTGTTCTTCTGGCATCAGGAAAATGGTATTCCTATTACCATTTAGACAAGACAAGTCACTTATTATCATGACTTGAAAGTACAATTTCTTGCCACGCAGTTAGCAAAAGAAAAATGCTAGTCGAGACGTGCCAAATTAGTTATATTACAAATCAGATATTACAGATAATAAGTAAAAAGCAAAGAAAAAGAGAAGAAGAAATAAAAAAGGAAGAAAGACAAATCTGTTTAGTGCAACCTGTGAAAGTTGCATCAAGGTAATCATCTTTGTCTTTTAATATTTCAGATTAAAGAAGTTGCAAATTAGTTTATTTTTTGTTCGATTTTCGCATATTGTTTAAGTTCGCTGGACCCTTCCATCCTGGTTTGTCCCAAGCTCTCAGATAATAGGGATGGCGCGCAAGTGAAAGGCACGTGTACGTCCTCTCCCCAGCTTCCCCCTGGTTTATTTTCGTGTTCGCGCTTTCTTAATTTTGCGAACCCGACTATCTCGGAGCCTGGAACAGGCTACTGCTTAATGTAATGGGGAGCAGATAAAGATTCGACTATATAATGTGTACGTTCTAGTCCACGGAGCTGAGAGCGGCATTAGTATTGTGACCAATTTTTATCCCCACAAGGTTAACATTTTCCAGCCTATATGTATTTGTTGAATTCCAGTAGTTAACCTGTTGCGATCAGGCGTTCTTTTTGTTCGAGAGGGATCAGAAAGGAACGCTCGAAAAGATTGGTGACACCGAAGCGTTCCTTTTTTCTTTCTTGGTCGTTTCGCCTGCTTTTGAGCTCCCGAAAAGTGAACGCCTTATAGGATTACAGAACTTTGGACGTCGACGGAAATTCGTGGGAAAGCTGATCTAAAAATAAGCTGTTTGTTTAAACACCTTGACATGTTCATAGAAGTTGAAAGTTCCTAGTTATAGACTCCCTTGTCCTTGTTAACTCACGTTACACATCTTCGGTGTGAATGTTTCGGTTGCTATGTCGTAATCTTCAGGTTAGAATTGCTCCTCCCCGCATAAATAGGCCTGGCCTTAAGTCACCTTCTACAATTACCGCACAGAATTCATAAAGCACAATTGTAGTTTTCCTGTAGATGGACTCCCGCCGTTGATTTATCAATGGGTTTGCCTAAAAAGACCTTGTTTGGCATGACTAAAACAAAAAACAGCCGCACCGCGGGAAAATACTGCTCATTTCATTTGACTGGTCATTTAAGCTAGAATTCAGCTAGATTTTTAGTTCACACCGTCACTAAAAAGTTATAACCTACTCCCACTTCTTAATATAAAGTAGCAAAAGGAAGCGTTCCTTAGTAACTTTTATTTGAACCGCCGGAGGGACTGTTTGTCCTTGTATGCAGAGAATCGTCGACACGTCCACTACGGTAAAATCTTTCTTTTATTTGAGCTTGTAGGTCACGATAGCTGTTGAAAATGAAACTGGTATTCATTTTAAGAAAGGGGGACTCAATCCGCATAAGAAAGATTTATTTTAAGCCGACAAATTCATAATAAGTTGCCGCTTGATAGTATTTCGCTTTCCACATTTAGCCATTGTTCACATCTGCGTCTAATATTTCAGATTCGGTAGTAAAGGCGGTCTCTAACCAGTACTACGAGATGTCAGTACGATAATCTGTTAGTTGAACGCGTTCGCTCAGTCCAACGAAACTTGGATAAAAAAAGATCATCATTTGAAAAAAATTATTTTTGTGGACACTCTAGAGAAACGATGGCGGTCACAAGCAGGTCTGATATTTAGTGCGCGGAAGAGTTTTCTTAATTTTTGATATATATCATTGGTAAACGATTGATTGAAGTGGAACACGAAATACAGTTTGCTGTTTTCATTTGTTTATCCTACATATTAAGTAACTGGCTGCTCAAAAAGAGTTACCAGCAAAAAAACGCAATCTTTGTTATTCGGTTTTTGTTACTACTAGTAAGCGATTCATTTATATACAAAAACTAAAGTGAAGATCGAAATACGGTTTTGCCTTTGTTTAAAATATGGCTGGCTAAATATAACAATAAAGGTTACTAGCCAAAAAATACATTTTCGTAAAATGATCCGCAACTATAAAATAAGATTACTGACGCATTCACCTTCTTTTATAATCTTTATCCAGAAATTCGCTGGTCATGTTTCCTTAAAATCATGATTCCTTAAGTAGGCGTGAAAGGCGAAATCGTGCCGAAAGGGTTGAATGAGGTTCCAACGCAGAGCTATTTACCTGCAAAGATTAGATCTCAAAAGCAAGTCAAAGTACCGCACCTGCAGAAGATATATTGTTTTGTGACGAAACAGCCAGCGGGATGGCATCTTAAAACTTGTCTTCGTTTTAAAAATACGCTATTGTTACAACACGTCACGTTTCACTTGCGAACAGGAGAATTGCGCTTTTTAAGTGGAAAAATTCGGTTAAGGAAGTGTTCTTCAATCTTGCTAAAAATGCGCTTCTCAATCACATTGATGATGAACTGTGAGGCAACTCGAGGTTGCATAATTTCAGTTCCATTAAATACGAACTAAAACTAACTCGATCGTGAAAAGAACCACACTCAATTTTAACATGTCTGTTATGCTTAAAACTGCATTACAGCATTGACAGAGAGGAAAGAAAGAATAAATCTGGTGTTTAAAAATATCAAAGCAAGATATTTTATCTTACATCCAAATAGGCTAATTTCACGTTCAAGATAATGGATTTCCACGTAAAATTATCCCGTGATTTCAACAAATCTAGCTTCACCTGCGCTGTGGGGGGAACTGCTCTCACCTACGTCAATATGAATCGTAATCTTACGCCCTACAACAGATCGTTCACAGATAAAAACCACCAGAAAAAATAATGTTTTTAGACTTTATAAAAAAATCGCTTTGCTTTCTGCAATACGTTTGAATCTTTATACATTTTTTAACTGTCGATCGAACGCTTAATTAAAAAACGTTGAATAATATTAATGACTTTCACAACAGCATTCAAATTACCTGTACAATTCACCGTTCATCGCTGTTCTTTGTTTATTAAAACTCTACAGAATCCGTTCACTTTCCAGGCACTTGCGACATTTCAAGGCAGACAATATAATCTTCCAGTTTAGCTTCAACAGAGACATGAATATCGATTTTAGCGTCTTAAGATGTGCTAATGACCGGTGCGTTCAAAAAAGTCTGATTGACACTTTCCTAAATTTTAATTTCGAATTTGAATACATGTTTATTTTCTTGTGAATTTTGTTTATGCGCTGATATGAAAGTTTTTAGTGCAGCTGAGGAAGTTAAAAGAAGCAAAAATAAAGATTTCGCAGGTTCGGATTATCTCGCTTCTGTCTCTCTACTGCGTAAGAGATTCAGCGAATGCGAATGGATGCATTGGATAAATACCTCTCTACGTGACAACACATTTACACCTGTTATTCATTAAGCAACCTTTAAGACACAAATCATATTTTGAATTTTACAAAAGCATAAATGATATGAACTATTTTAAGCCAACGATTAAAGCACGAACTTAAATGTTAAATTGATGACTTGCGTGATGAAAAAACATGAATTGCACGAAAAATGATAAATTCGGACCTGGTGGCATAATACGTCCGCAATGCATCTGCTTTTGTTTACTTTTGAAAAAATTAAAAGGGAGTCTGTTAAAACTGACGTCTTTTAGGGGGATTTTAACAGCGGCGCAACTGTGAGCTTTTACCTGTGTTGACATATTTAACATTCAAAAACAAATGATGAATATTCTGCTCCTCTTTGTTTAAGGACCTGGCATACTCGGTCTAAGACTGGGGCTAGCAAATAAGCCTGGAGGGACTGAGTAAGACTCGTGTCTTTCCCATCACGCTATGATATGTCACGTGGTATCCAGTCACGAAAGAAGTTGCATTGAAAATGATCCAAAGAGTAGAGGGTTTCAAAATAGCAATATAATGGCGTCGTTTGGAAAATATTTTTTTGCTGAAAACACCATTTGAATATAAGGTTTCTCCTCATCGTCGTGGTCTTTTTTTTGGAGGGGGGATGGGTGTTCGGGATGCGCAACGTTCTTGTATTGTCATCCAATATTTTCCACAGGCTTGTCAGTTTTTACATATTGAAAGGATGAGAATAGATATCATAATTTAGGCATATAGCCTTGCATGAGCTTGATAATTGTAAATTTCTTATTAAATACGGCTGTTAAATTTTAAAGACAGACGAAGAGAATTCTTTACAACCGTTGAAATTGTGTCCAAGCCAATGCTTTCAATAACGGAAACTTTCTAACACTACTCTTCGCTTAGTCTCTTATTTTTCTTTGCAAAGTTACTGCATGAGAAACCCAAGCACGCGAGCGGCGAAGCCGCGATAAACGAGGACGTATTAGGTCGAGACCACGCGATGACCTGTCAACAGCTGTAAAACTAAAAAATCGATTACTACGTTTCTGGGCTGACGGAGAGTTTGTTTACCACAAAAGAGTCGGCAGTCCGTCTTTTCTCGTCTGATCCTAATCCCTTATTGTAAGATAACGTCGTGGTTTGCAATCGCGCTAGCTGAGATAAGAACTAGACGGATTTTACGAGAACAGGCGGATTGCAAGCAGTCTACTCGGGGTTGCGGAATCCGGGAAATTTCTGCTTGTGGAATTCGGAATCAAGCAAATTTTTGCTGAGAAATCCAGAATCTGGGCTTTGGAATACGGAATACAGCTAAAGGAATCCGGAATCCCACTAACGATTTGAATCCGGAAACCATAATCCACAGACCAAGAATCCGGAATCCACAGCGTAGAGATCCAGAGTCCTTTCCTTACACGGGGCGATTAGCGCTAGGTGCAGATCCCTAGGACAATTAATGCCAAACCACCGCGCTTCATGCTGAGCAAAAATATAGTCTTGAAATTTCCCAGCATCATTTCAGTTCTCTTTATGATAGCCGGCGGAAATAAAAAACANCAATAACGGAAACTTTCTAACACTACTCTTCGCTTAGTCTCTTATTTTTCTTTGCAAAGTTACTGCATGAGAAACCCAAGCACGCGAGCGGCGAAGCCGCGATAAACGAGGACGTATTAGGTCGAGACCACGCGATGACCTGTCAACAGCTGTAAAACTAAAAAATCGATTACTACGTTTCTGGGCTGACGGAGAGTTTGTTTACCACAAAAGAGTCGGCAGTCCGTCTTTTCTCGTCTGATCCTAATCCCTTATTGTAAGATAACGTCGTGGTTTGCAATCGCGCTAGCTGAGATAAGAACTAGACGGATTTTACGAGAACAGGCGGATTGCAAGCAGTCTACTCGGGGTTGCGGAATCCGGGAAATTTCTGCTTGTGGAATTCGGAATCAAGCAAATTTTTGCTGAGAAATCCAGAATCTGGGCTTTGGAATACGGAATACAGCTAAAGGAATCCGGAATCCCACTAACGATTTGAATCCGGAAACCATAATCCACAGACCAAGAATCCGGAATCCACAGCGTAGAGATCCAGAGTCCTTTCCTTACACGGGGCGATTAGCGCTAGGTGCAGATCCCTAGGACAATTAATACCAAACCACCGCGCTTCATGCTGAGCAAAAATGTAGTCTTGAAATTTCCCAGCATCATTTCAGTTTTCTTTATGATAGCCGGCGAAAATGGAAAACATCTTAAATCGTTGTGATCAAATCCTTAAGCCGCGATAAATTTAATCCGTTAAAAATAAGTAAACAACTTAAAAGTAAGGGCTTTACAGAACGTGAACCACAACAAACGCATGTTGCGGTTGTAATGAAAACAACGCATTATACAGTTGCAAATGGTATTATATAGGCGTCTAGTATTCTCTGGGGCATTTGTCTTCTTTAAACTGCCTGAAAACCTCAATAGAGATTTACGGACCTACAAAGCGATTAGTCATTAAAGTCTGTCGGTCCGTCTATGCTTTTCTAAGAATCTTTTAGTTGTCTCTGCCTCGACATTTCTGAATTTCCAAAACTTTTATTTCTTTGCTTTTAGTCCTGCTTTTGTCAACAAAACTGAACAAACAGCGCTCAGAACGATGAAAAATTTAATGTAAAATTCTGAAACAAAACTAAACAATTCTTGTCGTGAATGCAGTACAGAACGATAAAAAGCCGAATTTTCTGAGAAAATTCCTGGTTCTGCGTAATCGATGACTTAACGAAAAGTTATTGTGAATGTTAGTTCCTTCATCAAGATTAATTCTGGCTGTGTCCACAATATTTATAGTAATAAAGGCAAAATGATGATTTATTCTACAAGCAGACTCGTAATATTTTAGGCTTAATTAATTTAGTTAAGGCATTTATCAGGAGGCTAGCATTTACACGGTTATTGCTGTGGTTATAAACATATCAATTTTAAATACAGCGACTGTGGGATCAGTGTAACGCTGAGGGTTTGAAAATTGGCCTTCGATGATACATTTAGGTTTATAAACTTGTGAAGAGATCACTGTTGTAATATAAAATAATTTCAATGTTAATTAAACTTAAACACCTTACCTTCGCTAGGCAAGCAAGCTAGGATAAAAACCAAGTAGAGACTAGGGTTTTAGTCCTTGGTATTTCCGCGATTTTGTTAGGAGGAAAATAATCACCCGCTTACAGGCGAGTAGCAAAGACTCAGCAAAACAGTTTGAACCATTAGAACACGTCGTTTCGAGAACCATTGGCATAAATAAATAATAAATTGAAAAACCCAAATATTTATTAAACAATCTTATGGAGACAAAAAAAGTCTCCTGTATGCTTATTACGTTTGTTGCTAAGCAACTAGCCTTGGGTTAGACGGTCCGCTGTCCAGCAGTAGTTGCCGCTTAAGCTCCATTCACACTAGTTATGAACCAGTCAGTTCTTTTCGGGCTAGTTCTCCTTCAGTGTGAACTTCTAAATATCGGTTTACTCAGTCAATCGCTTTATGTGACTACAGTGACTACAATTTATAACGTGGGAAGTGGTGAAAAGTCCGAAGTCGGAAGTCGGAATTAGTCGGAAGTCGGAATTAGTCGGAAGTCGAAAGATGACCCTCCTCAGCTTTTGTTTAGACCCTAGCATGTACTGAAAAGTCACCGGACCAGTTGCCTTATGGCTTTCTATCCAATTTTTTCGTGCTCTTTCTATCTCAGGTTTTAAGTAGTATCCCTTAATTTTGGCAACAGGAGGATCACGTGACTGCTAGCTGGAGAGGGTAAGTATTCTCTCCAGTCTCCCCACGCTTGTCATAAGTTTTGTAATTAGTTACCAGACCCCCTTTTTTGCTTTAATGATGAGTAAAGTCATACCTTAGTTGCGAAACATCATGACTACCTTAAATAGATGCGAGCAGTTAATTTTGATAGAGGTATGTAGCTCTCTACATCAGACATATAACTTGTCTCGTATCTAGCCTTCGTAGCAAGCGTTTCTAATCGAGGACGAGTATTTCGCGAAACTTGGAGCGAGAGCAAAAGAAATGGAAGATCCCTTCATTCCTAATCAGTCCCAACTTTCTCGACGAACTTGGGCGGAAACGTTTGCTATGCAAGCTACTCCATATCGCACTTAGAAACATAGCGATTTTATCACATCACTGTAAGATGGCCAAAACAAAAATAAACGCGCATTACATACCAACAGGATGTCAT